AAGAGAGAGAAGCAAGGAAGCCAATTGCTTCAGCATCTGAGTTTCGGAGAAGAATTGGGTTTGCAATGATTGGCTTGGGAGATGATATATATGTGATTGGAGGAGTAATTGGGCCGGAACGCTGGAATTGGGACATCAAGATGATGTCTGATGTTGATTTTCTGACGCTTGGGAGTGAGAGATCAATTTGGCGTCAAGGGGCTCCTATGACACGGTGCCGGGGAACAATTCTTGGTTGTGCACAGCTGAGAATTTAGGTTTTCATTTATTTGGGTGGTGGCTTTTGTTGATCTGTTGTGACAATTTGCTGCTGTTGAAGGTTTGGTGCCATCACCAGCCCCCTTGTTTTGCTTGTAATCCATACTGCTTCCTGGTAATGAAAGCTTTGGAGGAACTTTCTGGTGGTGGTTTTTTTTGCACCTTTTAAACAGGCAACAGGTGACTGGTGAATGAAAAACATAATGTATTGGCATGAAGAAAGCTTGTATTTTCTTCTTATTTTTTTGTTTTGTAATTGAATACAGTTCAATTTGTTTCTCTACCCTTCCAATTCTTTTACCTTTCGGTCCTCTCTTGTTGGTGATGCATATGGTGTATTGGTCGATGGGAGCATTCTCGTCTCTTTGAGCATTGTGCTGCTCCAAGTTTTTGCTAAACGGTTCCGATGCTATCAGCAATAGAGGTTGTTTTGTTGCTCCCTCATTTTATTGGGTAAATTCCATTTTACCCCCTTGAACTATTCCTTTTGTTTCATTTTGCACTCCCAACTATAAAATTTTTCACATGATACCATAAAGTATTAATTTTGTTTTATATCATTCCAATAGATAATGGCAAGTGGCCTGTATTGTTAATAAGCAATTGCTTATTACAAATGTGCATGTCAAAAGTCAAGAAAAATACCCATCCACGACTAAGCCTGATAATTCTAGACACGACTCGTGAAATCGACATAAACCTAATACGGATTTAGCGAATTTTAGTGGTCTTAACGGTTTGGGTGATTAATGGATTAACTTGGCAAACCCGTGAAATAAACGAACCGGTTTCGTGTTTAACCTATAAAGTCATTTAAACCTGTTTAACCCGTTAACAGTGACACTATAAATTTTTTTAAAAAAAGTTAGGTCTTTCAGCCTCTACCTAATTACACATCTCCCATTTTTCAGACTCATTCAAATTTAGTAGTCATTTAATATTTATTGTTTGTCTTTATTTTTTTTTGCTTAGCTATAACTTATTGTTATAGTAAACAGATCAAACATGTGTAATGTGTGATCATTTGATGATTTTTTGTGTGGGCTCAAAATACTCTAATTTATTCTCTTATTTAGCAGGTGACACACGAGTTGCATCGGGGAACCCGTCTAATAAATGATTTGTGTATGGATGTGATAGTTGAACTCTTGTATATAAACAAATGAGATATGGATAGAGGGTTTTTTGACACAAACCCGTTCCATTCAATACGAAACCGTTCCACTCGACACGATTATCAGGCCTATCCATGATTTTGTTCTTTCTAAGCTCCAAATTTTCCTCCTCTAGTTGACCTTCTCTTCTCAACAACCATTTGATTTGCAAAAGAGATAAAACAAAGTGGTTCTATACATTTGACAAGAAGCTCTTTGGGGTTTTCTTCCCTCTTTTAACAGATTTTCAAGTTTGTCATTATATATTGGAGTGATATGAAACAAAATTGATACTTTATAGTATAATGTAAGAAATTTTATAATCGAGACTGCAAAGTAAAACAAAGATAATAATTTAGAAATGTAAAATGTAATTTACTCCATTTTATTTAATCTCAAATCTCCACTACAATGTTTTTGCATGTGCAAAGAGTCTATTTTGGTGGTTCAAAAACTTATTTTAAAACAATAATCAGGAAGAGGAGGTCGATTAATTGACAAGACATTTCATGTAACTTAACTTCTTCTATCAAAACAAAAAAAAAATAAAAAAAATTCTTTTATCAAAACAGATACTTCTATGTAATACTAGTTGTTGCACGTGAATCAATTATAATTATAATTTTGAGTCTAATTTGTTATTTTTATTAATTCTTTTTATTTGTTCAAGATTAAAGCAATTTGATATGTGGTGATTGTTAAATTGCACATGCATTTAGATCATTGACAAAGGAAGGTTAGATCTCTTGTAAATAGATACGAAAAAAGGGTGTAATATTATTCAAAGCAGAAAATACACAATCTAGTTTTAACTCTTTGTCACATTGCCAGAAAAAATCATTTCTAGATTTATTTATATGTAAGGAAATAGTTGGGACTTGCCACGCACATACTTTGTTAGTTAATAAACCATTCTTGACATATTGTTATAAGGCCAGTCTCCTATTTAATAGCAATTCCACCATATAAGTATAGTTTCTTAATATATCACTACTCATATTGACGACATTTTGAGTGGTACTATAATTATGTTAGACGAACTCTTAAAATCCACAACCTTAGCAATCAACCAAAATGTATCACAAACCTTGCCAACAGTCTGATGCTTCTTGTTTACACATTACATGTGGTAATTAACGGCTTGCTTTTACGACAAGGCCTAAGTCTCCCAATTCCCATCATTAAGGAAAGATAGAAATATTTAGTTAGTAGAAATTAATGAAAAAAATGACACCTAAAATTAAAGGTTTAAATAATTGTCATTTAACAACATAAATAAGAACAAAATTTATAAGTGCCAAATGATAAAACATGAACCAAAGGAATTCAAAAACGTCAATCTTCAACATAACATGTGCTACCACTTAGAAAAAAAAAAAAAAAAATATAACATCCATCACCACACATTACAAAAATTATCAGTTATAGGCATGAATTACTTAAAACTGATCACATGCACATCTGCGTGAGAAGGTTGGACATGAAGGAGAAGGATTTTTAAGCCAAAGGTGTTGGAACAAATGCTCTACTTCATCGTCCACTCAAGAGCCCTATGTTGTTTATCCAAATTCTAAGCCTGTAGATTCCTCTTGAACTTTCACTTTTTATATGATGGAGTCTGAAATGTGATACATTAAAGCCCTTTTAAATGTTCACAAATTGCCACATGGTTAGTATACCCATTCATATGCCATGAGATGACGGTTTACAACTATGTTGTGACTCCTAAAAGGATTGTTGGTTAAAACTTTTATACTCAGAAACCTTAGAGTCACAACCTGACGGTAACTCTCAGACGAAGGTGAAAAGGGTGGGCAAAATAGTAAGTAATTGTATGTTTAGTTACTTTGTATCTATTTAATTTGAAATTAATATGAGAGGAAGCTTAGGAGTCTGGTGTGTAACTTGGGTGAGAGATGAGAGGGTAGGATGTAAGTGGTATTAGTTATTTTATTAAGGTTATTTTAGTGAACTAAAAATTTTTCACTTTTGTTTACATTTTATAGTAGTACTAGTTATTGCATGTGCCTGAAGACATAAAGTAATAAAAAATAGTAAATAATAAACATATTTATATTCATATCCAAAATTAAATCACAAACATAGAGAAGAGATAAAAGAATTTAAGCATCGGTTTATAGTAGAAGTGAGAGGTGGTGGGTAATGGTGATGGTAAAAGACGGTGATGGTTGTAAATGAGTGACAATAATCGTGGTGACGTTGGTGACAACGAGGGCGACGGCAATGATGGTGGTGGTGGCTGTGGCGACAATGACAGTGGCGGCGACATTGATGGTGGCGGTGGTGGGGATGGTGATTGTGGCGGCGGTGACAGTGACGGTGATGGGGGTGGTAGAGGCGATGGTGGTGGTGGTGGTGGCGGCGATAGAAACGGTGATGGTGGCGGTGGTGGCGGCGACGGCGACGGTGATGGTGGTGGTGACGGTGGCGGTGGTGGTGACGGCAACAGTGGTGATGGTAACGGCATTAGCGACGACGATAGTGGTGGTGACGGTGGTGATGGTGGTGATAGTGGCGGCAGTAGCGACGGTGGTGGCGGCAGTGGCAGTGGTGGCGGTGGCGGTGGTGGTGGTGGAACGGTTTCAAACATTATTTTTTTTATTATGAAAAATAATTTCTAAAAGTATTTTTAAAAAGTCACTTCAAACACATTTTTAGGGGTCTATTTTTCCTATTAAATTTAGGTTGTTAATATTAGTCGTTAGATTAACTTTAAAGTAAATTTAAAAAGATCTCAACTGCGAATAGTAAAAATTATTTTGTTTATCTTTTAAGATTTGAATTGTAAGCTATTTTATTATATAATTAAATTTCATTTAGATTTTCGTTAATATAGTATCATTATCTTTTATTATTTGTGCTAAATCAATAGGGTTAATAACATTTTTGATCTCTAAAATATATACATATTGTCAGTTTGATCTTTGTAGTATTATTTTATTAATTTGGTTTCTGAAATATTAATTTTATTAATTTGGTCTCTAAAATATTAATTTTATCAATTTGATCCTTAAACACATTCAATTCATATTTAAATGATCATTACATAGACAGACCGTTAAATTTTTTACGAAATGATCACATGCTGGACACGTAATACCGTCTGAAAGAATGATACTTTTATAAAAAAAATAAATGAATTGTCTAGTTAAGGATTAAAGTGACACAAATTAAAATTTTAAGAATTAAACTAATAAAACAAACATAGACTAAAAATTTTATTAACCTTTTACGCCATAGAAAGAATACAAAGAACCGAGCTTTTAAAGGGCAGGGCTACCCCGGCAACTCTATTCTAAATGTACCAGGTAAATAAAAAGAGTTGGATAGGAGTCGCTGCATCACGGCTTCTTTTACACTTTTCCCAACAACTTTAAAAGCCCTAGAAAATTGGGCCTTGGAATTTAGATCCATAGTGATAGAATTACAGGCTTCAGAGTACACTTCTTTCAAATTGGGCCTTAATGTTAACCCACGTACAGAAAAAGCCCTAAAGGGCATAGAAGGAAGAAGACGACTGTAAACCGCGAAAAACCCTACCTTGAAGCCTTTTTGCGGTCAAAGAAAATGGAGGAAACTTCCATGGAAGAGCACGAACAAACCCTAGAAACGGAGGTGGCTCCGGCCCTTATCGCAGTCCACCCCACCCAACAATCCGTCGCTGCCGCCGTCGGGTCCGACCTCCGTGTCTTCATTCTCGAGTAATCTCTCTCTCTCTCTCGCCTTAGATTTTCTCCTCTTGTATTTGGTTTTCAAGAAATCGAAAGAGTGTTTGCGAGTAAGTAACTTAGTTGCATTAGGCACTGCTGTGTGGAGGTCTCCTTCAATTTCTAGCAGAGCAGCATAAGATAAAATATTGAAATTCGATCTAGATATGTTGTGATTTGAGCAAAATTACTGCTCGAATTTATAATTGGTACGTAATTCACAACTTTCGTAAATCTTATAGTGTTGTTGCTTTGCAGAGAAGGTTGTTCAGTTGCTCTGGTAGATGATTCTGCTGGGCCTCTTCATAAGGATTCTATTAGAGCAATTCGTTATGGTGCAAAAGGAAGGCTCTTTGTATCAGCTGGTGACGATAAACTGGTCAAGATTTGGTCCACAAATTCATGGCGTTGTATATGTACTGTGTAAGTCTTTCAAATCTAGTAGGCTTCGTTCTGTACACACCGAAGGCGGAGGCAAAAATGGTCTGTCAGTGTGTATGAAATTGAACACAGTGCTTTTATTCACTTGTCCTCGATGCTTATGTTTTGATTTCCTAAAGCTCATTAGGTCTGATAATTGGAATTTGGAGGTATCAAAATTTCTTAATCCAACTTCTTTGCTTTGGTGGCTGAATGTTTGTAATGCATGATATGCCAATATTATATGCTGGAGCACTCTAATTTCCCGGCGTCCTACTAAAGTGATTTCTGGTTTGACAGGAATTTTACTGTTCTTGCCAGAAAAATTAGCTTAGCTTTAAAAAATATTTTTATTTTTGGTTTGTTATGTTTTCTTGTTTATGAGAAGAGAAATATATGGTAAATTAGTACTTTTTTGGGAAGAAAAAGGCCAAACATACGTAAACAACTCGTCTGATGTAGAATATTCTTAGTTCTAGAGTTTTGCATGAGAAGTTCTGTCGGGAACAATTCTTCAAATGAAATCGTTCTGGCCTTATTACATTCTAACTAGTGTTTTATACTATCTGCCCTGTTGTACAATGATTTAGATCATAGAGTATGTTGCGTGCAGTGTTCTGTGTTTTGGGTAACATCATGTCCTACAAGTTGCACAGCTTAAAGTTTTTCCTTGAAGGTAGGATTCCTCAGTACTCTATTGAGATTACATTATTGTTGCAATTGTCACAGGTCGTCGGAGAAGAGAGTGAGTGCACTTGCCATAAGCAATGATGGTCTGTTTGTCTGTTTTGCTGACAAGTTTGGTGTCGTTTGGGTTGTGGATCTGGATGGTTCCCATGAAAATCAACCTTTAGTCAATAAGAAGGCAGTGCCACTTCTTGCCCATTATTGTAGCATCATTACCAGCCTGGTGGGTCATTTATTCAAATATAATTTCTACAGTTTTCAAAATCTGCTTTGACCTTGGTTATTGGTTGTTTTTCTTAAATATAGTACGGAGGACCTTTCTATAGTTGTCAGTTGTATGAATGATGAATCAGCGTCTATTTATTCCATCTTTTCTCTAGAATTTGAGGGGTCGGTGAAGAATCGTGTACTTTGTCTCCTGTTTTCTTGATCATTCATTTTGGAATTATAATATAGCATTGACTTCTGTTCTTTCCCTCCAACTCACGTAGCGCTGATTTATTTGTTTCTTATCCAAGAATCTCCTTTTTAAAAATTACGTCGACACTAGTCTTGATGCTTTATACATTCTTCACTGTTAACATGAACTACTTCTTACAGAAATAACATCTTGCAGGAATTCTCAGCAGAGGGGCGATTTATTATTAGTGCTGATCGGGACTCCAAAATCCGTGTAATTCAGTTTTTCTACCCATTTAAGCTAATTCATAGCTGCTGCCCAGGATTTCCTTGCAAAGTTTTTGATATTTTCTCAAAACTACAGGTTACCGTATTTCCCAAGAAGCCTTTAGATGGAGCTCATGAGATACAAAGTTTTTGCCTTGGTCACACTGAGTGAGTAAGCTTTTCATTATCATGTATTTGTCTCTTAAAAGAAGTAAAATAATTTATTGGCTGGAGAACATTACTTACACGAATTTTCATGTATATATTGGCAGGTTTGTATCCTGCCTTGCCTTTGTTTACAGTTCAGATTGTCCAGAGGGGTTTCTGGTCTCGGGCAGTGGTGACTCAACGGTGAGTACATTATAAAACTAACAAAATCTGCATGGCTTGCGCCATGACTTTTTCATCTTTGAGGTGCCAAAAATTGCTTATTTATGTGATTTATTTGCTTTTGCAGGTTCGGTTGTGGGATCTTACCTCTGGGTCTCTTCTTGATATCTTTGAAGTTGGAGCAGAGGTAGCCCTATTGTTCTAACTTTAACCCCTAGACTTTGGTGATATCCGGGCATTTCCTTTTCTTTCTGATATATGTCATCATATATCACCAATTTCCTGGGCAAACTTTGGCTTTGAATTGAATACAAATCTAAAGTTTTGCCATCAACCCTTTTTTTTGAAGTTGTGCTGAGATCAAAAGTGCAGATGAGATAGTGATACTACTAGGAACTTTAAAGGGGACAATCCTCTTCCTATGACTGCCCCCTCTATTTTACCTCCGCACTTGTCATATATCTGCAGAAGTTATGAGATGATATAATTCTTATACTTTGTGCCTATTACTTGCCATTTAATGTTTTCATTGAGTGTCATGGTAGTTTTAATCTGGTTTTAAGTTTTTCTGGCTTCCTGAAGGCAGGACTTGTACAGTCTAATGGAACAGAACAGGAGGGCTATCCAGCCGTCACTGATTTATGTGCCACTCCTGATGGCTCGTTAATTTCAGTAGCCATTCAAAGGCAAGTGCTCTTTGCATCTCTTAACTATCATTCTGTGAACTTCTGAGGGTTTTGATGTTTCAGTGTCGTCAATCTTCTAATGTTAAGTTTTCTACTCGAATTGTAGCTTGCCAGGAGTTATGATTTTGAGCTGCGACCTTTCTGCTAAAACTCTTTCCATTGTCAAGGTAAAATAGCAATTTTCTTAGAGGATGTATGTGGACTGTGAATGGGGGCAACCGAGTATGAATTGAACACTACAAGTTCCTGTCACTATTATTTATTTGTGTCACCAATATTTTTTTCTGTCTGATTGCCACAATGATGGCTGCCTGGAAAGTTAGGTTGCTCATATGTCGACAAAGATTTCAATCCTCACATTTGGGGTCCTTCAAGTGTAAAATATTTTGGAGAATTTTAATTGAATCATAATATGAAAGTGCAAAATAAATTATGCATATGCTGGAAACTGTGCTTTTGGAGAAAGCTACTTGCATTTCCAACAAGATATTGGCACTTATACAGATTATAATATTCTCTTACAGAAACTGCCCAATCATCAACAGATCTAAACAAATAATCTTGCGCTCATTATTTGTTTTTCTCTGTTATTCTATATTTCTTGAATGTTGTTGCAGGTGGTTTCCATCACTGGAGAGGCCTTCATTCCCACAAGCTTAGGAGCTGCCTCTTCAGCAGAATTATTATGGATGGTCATGGGTGTCTCCAATTTACATGGTTCAGTTTCTGGATCTTTAGCCCGTGTGAGAGTTATATCTGGTTTTAACAAAAAAAAAGGGAATCTGCTGGGCACGAGCCTATTTTGTTGGAAGATAATGACATTCCTGGTGGACAGCAACTTCTGCAGAAGCTACAGGGAGATTTGTCTATCGAGAGAGAAGGTATTCTCTGCAGCCGCGGAAGCTGTGAAAACTGCATTGCGCAATTTGTTGATCCAAAAAACAATACTCTGCTGAAGACGGGAGCAGAGAAGAGAGGACGAATGATAAAAAAACAACTGTAGAGCAAGATTTCACATGTTATCGCTGTTCTTTGTGC